TCTGCCATTACTTGTATAAATAATGACCCATTCCATTTATATTGTGAGAAAAGAAAAAAAAAACATTATATCAAAACACTGGTTTTAGCAAGATAAAGAAATCATACAAAATACGAAAGCAAAATGGAAAGATAGGAGGAAGTGAGAACACTCATGTACACTATTTTTATTGTAACCCAACTTTCTACTCTACTTCAGCGTAAAAAAAAAAAAAAAAAAAAAAACACTTGTCAATTTTTTTTTTCATTTGTACCCCCTTACTTCTTTCAATAGTGACCTGGATTCATACTTATTAAAGTTAAGCTCAAATATTTAACAATGCAATCAGGGAATTTAAACAAGTATTTTATACTCATAGAACTCGTAAGATGGTTATTCAGTCATTATCATAAATCATCAGAAGTCCAAATAGCAAAACCATGAAATTTTTACAGGTATGCTAGTTATTCTTAAATGTGAGCAAATAACATTCAGGGCTATCACAGCCTTTTACTATTTTAAACAGATCAAGACATTATAAATATATACAGGCAAATAGACAGCTACAGAAGAGTAGATCAAATGAGATTTATATGCAGATTAGATCAGTTTTAGATCTTTGTATAGATCAGTTCTGAAGTTTGTTTTTTTTTTAAATTGAATTCTTTTGAAATATATTTTTGCAAGTATTTTAGTTTACTAATTTTTGAGCAGGAAAATTTTGTTGATCAAGCCAACTGTAGACAAATGAAATTATAGCAGCAATTCCACAGGTGAAATTCTGTATTCTGCTTCTACAATTTACACTATAAGTCATTAAATTTTTCTAGTATGCTTTTGTCTTCAAATGTAAAAACTGTTTTCTGTATAAAACTAAATATGTAACAAAACATTGATTTTTATTACCAAAATTATTGTTAACTTGTTAAATAAATTTGAATAAAGGAAAACATTAAACTACTTGTTAATGTTATTTTTTCCAGCTGAAATCACTGTCGAACTCACTCAATTCTGTCAACTGTTGAGTTGGTTATTCTTGGTGTATGAGATGACCACAGATTTGGTACTTCTGAGAGCATTGACAAAACATGTTAATGCTTAGTGTCATGTATTTATTGTTCTGGAAGTAGCAGGAGCAGCAGAAGTGGCTTGTACTGCTTAAAATATTTCACATTTCTTCTATTTGCCATGACCCTCAGAACATTAGTGATCATGACTCCACAATTTCCTGTCCTTTGTAGCTCTTAATAAATTTTGTTATCCCTATATTTTGCCATCCATTTACTCAAGCTTGCTAGGTAGGTTATACACCATTTTCCTCTTACCGTCAATCTGTCCTGTGATTATCAAATTTTCCAAGCCCTCTTTTCCCAAATGACCTAGAAATTTCAACTCCCTTTCTGATGTGAAATATAAGTGGCCTTTTTGTTTCCTTTTTTTCTCTAAAACTGTTACTCAAATGTTCATTCCATAGTATCCACAGCGTCCTTCTGTAAACCACATTTGTGCAGATTCAAGTCGTCTTCTTCTGTGAGTAGATTTTCCAGTATTCGCCGTCATATAAGAGGAATGATATTACATAACAGTTCAGTACTCTTTTCTCCATTTCTAATGAAATTTTCATGTTTCTTAATAATTTGCCTAGTTTTTGAAAGACCAAATTTGCTATCCCAATGCGCTTTTGGATTTCAGTGTCGCATTTTTCATCTTTAGTTAAAACACTTCCTAGATATTTTTTGTTCTTAATCATTTCCTTCCAAGCAAACCACTAAGATGCAAGGGTTTACTGTGTTAGAGAATATGAGAAAAAAATATTAAGGAGAGAGAACAATAAAAGAACAAGAATAACATAGAAAATAATGATTTAAATTTTTGAAGATCAAAGTTTATTTTAAACAGTATTATATTCTGTCTACCAGCCTGTACATTCAAGAAAACATTAAAGAAAAACTGTCTTCTAACAGGATTTGAAACTGCATCCCTGCTTTGGAGGAGAAACTCCCATTTAATCTAGTGAGCTTTGACCATTCAGCTTTGAAGAGCTTCACAATGATGCAAGGTTCTAATTGCTTTACTTGAATGTGTTTAAAATAAACGGAACGTCTACTCAAACAAGTATCTACTAAAAGTAACATTTAAAGTAATAAAAATATGTTGGATTATAAAATTAAAATCCATTTTTATATACACACATACACAGGGTGCGATGGATAAATTGTCATCTAAATGAGAATAACACTGACATCTCATTTTAACAGATATATTTGCCAAAATTGCACAAAAATCTTAGAATACTATAGAGTAAATTTATTAAAAAAAAAAAAAAAAAAAAAAAAAAATGCCATTGGCTTCAACCACAGCCTCCAGATGACTTTGGAATCTCCTGCAACTCTTCTGGATGGTCTCCTTGTTTAAGTTGGTAAATGCTGCCATAATCCTTGCCTTCAGTTCATCTTTACAAGGATTTTTGTTGGTCTATTGCTCAACTGTACCCCACATATAATAATCAAGGGGGTTGAAGTCTTCGAAGTTAGGTGGCCAGACGTAAGGAGTGATGTGGTCACAGAAATTGTCCGACAGCCATGACTGGGTTCACCTGTTTGTGCAGTATGGTGCAGAATCCTGTTGCCAGACAGGATCTCCCGGCAGCTACTCTCTTGACCCAGGGCATCATTATTTCTTCAAGGCTCTTGATATTTTTTTTATTTTTTTTTTTAAGCATTATGCCCCAAGCAAGGCGTGAAGCCACTAGGATGCAGGGGGTTGCGGAAGATTTGGAGCGAGAGCAGATAGGAGTGATAGGAGAAAGGATGGAGAGAAGGATAGTGGGTAGATCAAGGTAACTGGAGATGGAAAAAAAGGTTTTAAAAAAAAGAAAGAGCTACAAACATGAACTTCTGTTGACAAAAAAAAAAAAAAAAAAAAAAAAAATCGCACAGATGCAGGTCTGAAGCCCAAAGAAAAAAAAAAAACTCGATACGATAGGTGTGTATATATATATATATATATATATATACACCTATCGTATCGAGTTTTTTCGATAGGTGTATATATATATATATATATATATATATATATATATATATATATATATATATATATATGGCTAGTACAAAGCCTTAGGCATTGAATGGCAACCTTCCTAGAGATGGTATCTCAACAACACTCAGTAGACTACAGTGAGTGCTTGACTTGGGTGACAGGAAGAGCACTTGGCTTTGTAAAACTTTGATTCTTTCTCAGGCAGACCCCACCTTGCTTTGATGCAAGATTAATCCCAGTCCAGCCTCAACAAAAAACCAGATATGTATGTTTTTATTAACTTTATTTTTATTGTGGCCAGAAACCTAAGAATAGATCCTACACTTTGGCAAAAGGCTAAGATATCACATTTCAATTATGACTACAGTAATCAGATTGTACCAGAAAATCATAAATTCCTTACATAAGACTAAAGCAAAATGATCATGTATGTTTGGTTTAGTTTGGCATAATGAGAAAAGATTTCTGCTTTTATCATGGCTTGTTGATTTTTACTAATACTACTACCCTACCACTCTCTTCCTTAGGTTTAGTCTATTGCTGCTCTATCAAAGGAAAAAATTTAAAGGAAAAAAATATGATAACCGAGATTCAAACTTATATCTAAAATTTTCCTCAGAAAAAAATCATAATAAATTAATTGAAAGTGAGACATGCATCCAGATTTACTGCTCTAGTCAAATTTTGGTATTTGTGCATTGAAAATGTAAGTGTTAAAAAGAAGTTTCAGTGATCAAGAATTAAGATATGCTACAGGTACAAACAAAATTAAGACCTTTTGCCTGCCAAGGAGCAAAGACCATCAATTTCAATCCTCCATCAAACTCGGTTCTGGCTTCTCATTGCTTTTGTCCAGTTTCTTCTCCATCTCTTTAATTTATTCTTGGGATCAGGTCTCCAGGTGTTTCTTGGCTGTCTTATCCTTTAATTTTGACAGGTGATACTGGACATTAGTTTCCCAAGGGTTGTTCTATCCAATCCCACTACTTCAAGATCTGCTTGGTAACATGATCTTGCTCTGCTCTTCTTCCCTACAACTCCTCATCTGTGATCTTGTCTCGCCACCTGATATTGAAAATTCACCTCAGACATCTGACAAATGTCTGCAATTTTTTATGAAAAACTAGCAGCATGGCCTGGTGTTGCCCGTGCTTGATTCAAAAATCGTACAACTCATACAGCAATCGCTATCACTTGACTTAAAATATTTTTGCCCTTCCTTGCCTTTAAAGGAGTGCCCTTTGCCGTGCTGATGTTGCTACATGCCTTACTTCTTGCCTATCTCACACTGCAAATTTTTTTCTAAGCTCTATACTAAACATTAAATCTATTACGAAAAAAAGAACTAAACAAAATGAACACGAAACGATCAGCTTTAAAAAAGGACTCGTAACTGGAAAAACTGAATGAAAAAAGAATGTTAACAACATACTTTTTCATACCCAACCCAGTTCTGCGGAATCAGAATCAACGTTGTGTTTAAGCAAGTGAATGAGCCAATTGGAGTAAAGTGCCATGCAGATTTAAATTTTCCCCCACTTGTGACGAATGCAGCTATCGATTTTTTTTTGCATGCTAGCATGCTAGTTAACATTCATGTCAGCCTATTTGTGGCATCCAGCTATAGGCTCTCACTCTGGCCAGTAGAAAATAGCTGCAAACTACATGAAAAAAAAAAAAAAAAAAAAAAAAAAAAAAATATCGATTATTTCCACTATCGATGGAAGTTGGGAAATGCAAAGTCAGTCTTGGTCTTCCCGCTAACTTTGTGCATGTAAATTTTGGTGCAAATCTGTTGAAAATTGTGGCCGTGCATTCATTACACACACACACACATCCTGCCTTTTATATATAGATTTTGGTTGTTCTTCACATCTCAGAATCATTGAGCAGACGCAAATTTAGAGAGTTCTTTATCAGCAGAAAAAATGTATTTTATAGACAAAAGCAAGTCATTATATTAACAACATTGTACTTACTTTGTTTTTTTAAGACCCACAGCTTCCATTAAGTCTGAAGTCTTTTGCAGACTTTGTTTAAATCCAAGTGAGAGCAATGCAACATAAACCTCTTTGATGTGCAGTAATCTGCAAACAATGAATAAACAAAATGCATTCGGTTATTTACTTAATATAAGGCAAAGGATGGTGGCAGAATGATGGAATTTCACCAATCTTGTAAAATCAGACTACATGCCTGGAAAAACTTAGACCACTTGTACCAGTAGGAAATTTTTCGTACTAGGATTCATCCAATACAAGGCTCAAGAGACACTCAAGGTAGTGGATTACAAAAATTGCAATGAATTAATAGATAATGAAGTACATGTCAAGAACCAAATAGTGAGGAACATCTGGTTTACTCCTCCCCAGTCTTTTGAACAGGAGTAGGGGTTTATTCCTTGTTTCCTGTTTAAGATTGGATTTCCAGTTCCTTCTAAAATCTTCAACTATATTTCTAGCATCACTGTTTAATCTTTTAAATTTTATTTACTATTTTTGTTTTCCTGAATAGGAGTAGATAGGTTCCCTGGTTGTCCGGTTCACACTCCTCCCAGGTTTTTTACAGAAGTAGTTTATCCCTTGTTTCCTCCTTTAGGATTGGGTTTCCAGTTTTTGCTAAAGTCTTTTTTATTCTGTTTCCCTTTCAGTATCCCCTTGCATGTTAGTGGCATTATTGCTTGGGGTGAATTAAAAAAAAAAAAAAAAAAAAAATCCTGTTTTTATTAAAGTCTATATGTATCTACCTAAAATGTGGACCCTTTTGTAGGAGCTAAGCCCCACCAATAGGAACTGCCAATGAGATAAAGAAAAGGTCAGTCAACCTGGGTCCACAGCAAAGTACTTTCAGTGATGACTTCATTTGTCAATGTTATTTTATAAGGAATATTATTAATCAACAAGATTGAGTGCAATGACAATGCATGAAATTTCTTGCTTAGGTTTAGAATGAATGCTGATTTTGGTTTGAAAAGAAATGATGGAGCAATGAAAAGAAGAGGAAGCAATTTGTGGGTCTCAACAGATCAATAAGTATTCTATTATATTACTTACCCATCTGAATTTGCATCAAAGGCTTTGAAAACAGCATACAAGTCTCTGATCTCCTGGGTGGAAAATTCCTGGAGTATATGTGATGTGAGCTTCACACCAAACATTTCCTTTTCAGAAACTGGCTGTTTAATGAGCAAAGACACCAGCTGGAATATTGAGAGGTTAAAGAAGAATGAATACCAAGATTTTTTTATCATCAGGTTCTTAATTTCTAACAAGGTTATTTTTCATTTTATTGCTTTCTATCTAATAGTAGTACATATAATAAATCAACTGAATTTCTTAGAAAAAAAAAAAATTCATCCAAGCAAGGCAATAAAGCCACTAAGATGCAAGGTGTTACTGAATGAGAGACAAATACACTATTAAGAATAGATAACAATAAAAACAGAAATTAAAAAGACAGAAGACAATGATTGATATTGTCTTTAAAATTAACTGGTAAGCAAGAAGCCGGAACAGAGTTCCACAAGCAAAAAGTGCAATAGAAGAAACTATTACCGTAGAACTTATGGCTATATCTAGCCATTTCAAATGTAAAATGATGAGACGTTGCTACCAATCTAGGAGAGAGTTCTACAAAGTGTGGGAGAAGAAACTGTTAGCATTGAACTTACAGTTACATCTAGCCATTTCAATTATATATTGATGAGACCTTGCTGCCAATCTAGTACAGCGCTTAAATTCATAAAATCTAGGTACCAAGGAGGAATTAATATCTATTTTGTTATAATACAAAAATGTGCTACAAGGCCAAAAGGTGGGATAGGGGAAAGCTGGTCTTCAATCTGTCATATCTTAAACTTAGCTAGCCAAAATTACTGAACCAAACATACCACAGCATTATTAAACCAAAACAAGACATTCTTATCATTCTTACTACAGTCACCATAATACCTCAAAGTCTCTATGTAGTCCTAACTAATTGCCATATGTACAACTTGTCTAGGAGAGCGGATAAAAATAGCAACATTTAAAAATGAAACCTCAATGAATATTTACAATGATTATAATTTATATACAAGAAACTAAACAAAATAGAGTTAGTAATAAAAAAAAAACCCAAAAAAAACCACAATCCTTAAATCCTTGTCACAGAAAAAAATCAGTTAACTGGATGAAATTAATGCAGGACTAGGTAATTAAGAGCAATCAACAAGACACAAAAGCAAATATACTTGAAAAACACAAAGTTCCACACATCTACCAGAGAACTGACATCTATCACCTAACAGGGGATTATCAAGTTTGATCTTGGCCCCTGTCACCATCTTGTACTCTCTGATCTTTTTGCCAACTTTGTCCATCCCAGCTCTGCTAGACACAAGAACTGAAACATTGTCAGCATAATCAGAGTACCTGGCCAAGGTGGTAGCCCCAGATAGGGAAATTCGACATAGGACCAGATTCATCTTCAACTTGCAAAGGAAAGGTCCCAATGCAAGAATGTACAGCAAAGGTGAAAGCAGACAATCTTGATGAATGGAGCAAGACAATGTAAAGGCTCCAATTGAACTCCATTTCCACCAGCACACACGGGGGGGGGCATACAGAAGTCTGATCCAGGTGAAAAAGTACGGCATGAAACTGGTGATGGAAAGGACAGCCTCCAGAAATCGATAGTCAACCCTTTCGAATGCCGATCATCGAATTTGATCAGCGTGGCTTCACTGTTAAACTTGCTTGATGATCAAGTGTACCAAATGAGGGTTGTCCTGAATAATCTTGCCCTTCCCATAGATGTTTGGAGCAAATCTGACTAGAGAGAACAGCATGCAAATGGCTAGCTAAGATCTTCAACTTTGTATTTAACATCACCAAAGACCAAAAGTTACCTGTCCCATCACCATCATTTCTGTCCTTGCATAGCAACTTGATCACACCCCTGGTGAAGTGTTGAGGTAGCTTCATTCAGTTGTTGTAAATCAGTTCCAGCAGAAGAACAAGAATGGGCAACTGCCTAAAGTACATTTTGTAATGAAGACTATCTAATCTCAGAGGCTTTTTTTGGCCAACCAGCTTCAACGCTTCCCAGATTTCTGATTCTGTGATGGGATTCTTGAACCCAGCTGCCTCAGGGCAAGGAAAAAATCAGCCAAATAGTTGTCAAACTGAGCAGATGTTGAAAGTAGTCACGAAAAGCCTCACATATGCCCACATATGTTGTCATGGTCCACTTATCTGGCAATGTGATGCACACAATATGTCTACTGAATGCATTTCTAACTTCCTCTGCACACAATTCAGCACCTCAGAAGACATAATTTTTAACCTAGCCCTAACTACCAAAGCTGGATCCTTCTTGATAATCAAGGATGCCAAGTCTGCCCTAACTAAAGCTACTTCCTCACCATCACAGGATTTAATCGCCCAATATACTTTTCCCCCTCACATGCCATTGTACTGCTAATCTAAATAGATTAGCTCAACAACTCTAATCAGCAACAAACAACCTCATTTTTAATTTTAATTTATCCCACCACATATTTCCAACTACAGTCACTGTCAATTCACACTGTAGCATTAGTCACAGCTAGTCCTGGAAATCTTGCTTACCAAACAATGATGTGTTCAATTTCCATTAGCCAGCCATCTTGACCTTAGGATTATTTCAGTTTACACAAACCCAGGCAAGCCTATGATCCATGTAAACTATCAAATGAAAATTTGGACAACCTAAGAGCACTACATCAACTCTGTCAAGGTAACTAAAACACATCACCGAAGCTGAGCTGCCCCTATTAGTCCAAGTCCACGCTACCTCTCGGAAGTGTTCATTACAATACTTATCGAAAACATCAAACTTGTTAATAAAGTCCCAAAATGGTTTTACATCTAGGTTGTTAGTACGTGATCTTTACTCTATACAATCTTTATCTGAGTCAAGGACAGCATTCCAATCACCCCCCCACCTCTAAAACTACCCGATTAGATGTCATCAAAAATGATTCAATCCACTAAAACAAAATCAGTGAAGATGAGCACATGCTGCATCCAAAGACTTGCTCACTAGCCAGGAAACACTTCTCAAGCATCCATCAAAACATGCTGAATAGAGGGCAAATTTCTTAGATAGAACGTATTCATGGTTGTGAGTTCCATATACATCTGAAGAAGGCCAGAGGACACATTAGCCGAAATGTTATGATAAAAACAACAAAAATGAAGACAATAGTCCAAATATAAAGAGTGTTAATATTGTCTTGATATGCATCAATGTGAATATGGCAAAGCAACAGAAAAAATGTTTTTGGAGACAGATTATGAAGCTTTAAATTGACATCTGATTGTTTGAATGGCCTTTTCACACTATTCTTTATACATGTATATATACACATGTCCGAGTCTGCCAGTGTACTGTCATGCAAACAAGGACTATTGGCACAGAAAATGAAATTTTTAAGTCAAACTCAAATTTCAGTCCGGTATTCTGCATACACTTTCACACTTTTGTTTTTTGGGAGAAGGCATGAATCCATCAAGTATGGGTTAAATAGTGCGTCAATCTTGGGTGACAACCAATCTAAGAAAAACTGAATTCCAAAATCATGGAATAAGAAACTAAAAAGCACAATCTTTCCCAAGAAGACATGGCCATTCATAGAGAAAAAGAAATGGAATTTTGAGAAATCTGTGGAAATCACCCATGCCCATATCAATGATGGCATTAGCAAAAAAAACAAAAAAACAAAAAAAAAAGTAATAGTAATTGTGAAATTGTCATTATTGTTAATTTTTACTTGTTTTTCTTCCATCTTATTTTTGTTGCTTTTTATTAGAAAAATAAAAGGCACACAACATCTGATTAGCTTTTTTAACATGATTGCTAAAGCACTGTCCTGCTCAGACAGGTTCCAAAGTACAAAAGATGCAAATTCAATTCTTGTTAGAAGAATGAAAAAACAGACCAAAAGTTGTGATAAAAAGCAAGAAAATAAGAGGGAAGAAACAAGTTAAAATTACTGATTACAATGCTTCATTCAGGAATTCAAACAATTTTAGGTTTATTTTCCATAGATTATACCAAAGTATTTGATAAAACAAAGAATTCATTGAAATATTAGGAAAGTTTGATTTATATAGAAAAGATATAACTTCGACAAAAGAGGCACTGACCATAAACAAAGTGAGCAAAACTTTAAACCTAGGCAGAGCACACAGGCACTACACTAATCCTAGGCAGAAGTACAACTACATACCTAAATACAGGGTCCGATGGATAAATTGTCACCTAAATTATGCAAAATTAAAAATAATAGTGACATCTCATTTAAACAGATATATTTACCAAAATTACACAAAAACATCTTGAAATTCTACAGAGTAAATTTATTCAATAAAATCGCCATTGGCTTCAAGCATGGCCTCCAGATGGCTTCAGAATCTCTTGCAACTCTTCTGGATGGTCACAGTTAAGTTGGTGAATGCTGGCACAATCCTTGCCCTTAGTTCATCTTTGACGTTACAAGGCATTTTGTTGGTCTCTCACTCAACTGCGACCCATATAATAATCAAGGCAGTTGCAGCCTAGGAAGTTAGGTAGCCAGATGTATGGGTTGATGTGTTTGCAGAAATTATCTGATATCCATGAGTGGGTTACCCAGCTTGTGTGGCATGGTGCAAAGTCCTGTTGCTAGACATAGGGTCTTCCAGCAGCCACCCTCTTGACCCAGGACAGCCCTACCCTCTCAAAGCACTTGATGTTAGCATCAGTGTCGAGTTTGAGGCTCTGTGAGAAGATGAATGGTGGCATAACATCACCATCAATAGTGATCACACCAACAACCTTTATAATCACCATTAGACTCATCTAATTCTTTCCGAATCTTCTGCACTGTCCTCAGATTGACACCCAAACAATCTGAAATGTTCATATTGGAGCTTCTGGCATGAATACCAAGCAGTACAGCATGATGTTTCCAAATGTTGGGTAGTGTGAATTGCATCATGGTGCTCTTTTTCTCACAGACAATGCCCAACTGACCCTACTATACTTTGCAGTTGATAAAATCAAAGACAAACAACACCCATGTGCAAAATTAAAAAAATATAAAATGGCAACAATTTACCCATCACACCCTGTATTCATTTCTTTTTTTAGCATAAAATTTGACTCCCAGCATTGGTTCTGTTCATGAACAAGGCTGGTCAACCACAGTAAAGAACAATCGATACTATCAACACTAGTCATTGTCATGTTTGAAAATGACATTCTAGATCAACTTACTCTTTCTCTTGCTGTTGGAGGAGGCAAAATAACTTCTGGTTTGACAGGATCGACATATTCTTTTTCTTTTATCAGTTTTGAATTGACTTTAGATTTCTTTGTTGCAATCTTTTTCTTTTTACCAGTGCTTTTTCCTTTCTTCGGAGGCATACCTACACAAAAAGAAATAAAAAATAAGTACAATATAGATATTGCAATGTGCTAATTTCATTTACACTATTTACATTGTTAGGACTTTTGTCCTTATTTTTATGGTCACATTCACATTTTGGCTGTAATATATTTTCCAGGTGATATTTCTTGGAATTCCAAACCAAAGACTTTATTTAGTCGACAGGAGTAGATTAATTCCAACAAATTAGAACAATCTAGAACCCGTGGAATTGCAACAATCTACAACCTGTTGACTAAATAAAGAGTTCAGTTCAAAATTCCAAAAAATATCACCTGAAGAATATCAGTTCAAACAATGTAAATAGTGTAAATAGTTACTGTTGTGATGATATAACCCAACTTCCCCATTCACAATAATGGACGGACTGGTTGCCGATTAAGTACGACCACAGCAGACAGTCGAAAAAAAGTCTTCGTTTGTTAACACCTATTGAGGTTAGCATACTCCCGACTCTGTATTTGACACACCTACATCCGATTATAAACCTATTATTGAAAACCAACACTCGGGTTACTTTGTTTATTATATCTTGCACGAGATATAACAGTTACAATACCTCATCTCAGAAATACAGACAGATGTGATAATCTCATTTAAGTTTCAAAAGATGTGTAAATCTTTTTACATAATTTTGTTGTGGTCTTAGGGCTAGAAATAAAGACAAAGAGAGGATTTGAGTTAAACAAATATATTAACAGTAATACAAACATATACAAACAACAGTGTTACAGCAAGAATGTTCGGTTCGACTGTCTGAGCTGCCTGCTGGAAACTTCTCTCTCCAAAAGGCAGTACCTGCTCCTATTTATAGCTGGGAGAGTCATGCATGGGTAAATTACCATAACAAATTTTTAAGCTGACTAAATTCTACTAAGAATCAATTTCCTCTTCATTGGAATATCATATACCTTCACTAATTTAAGTGTAGTTCTAGACTGGCAGTTAAGTCTCATAATTTTATAGTTGAAATTTTTAGATTTAACCATAAGTTCAATTGTAATAGTTTCTTCTCTTGTGCTTATCACCTGTGGAATTCACTTTGAGCTTTTTGCTTTCCCGTCAACTTTGATCTTTAAAAACTTAAATACAATATCAATCATCATCATCTGTCTTTTTGAATCCCGTTCTTTCATTGCACTTCTCAATAAGATTTTTTTTTTCTTTTTTAGTTTTTTTCACTTTAAGTAACCCCTTGCATCTAAGTGGTTTTATCACCTTGCTTGGGGTGAAATGATAAAACAAATAATATTTAATTTTACTTTGCTTAAAGTTGGTTAGCTTATAAAATGCTTTAATGAGATTTCTGTTATAACTCAAGTAAAAATTTAAAAATTTTAATTTATATAGATTTTCATAGTTATTCATAATGCACAAGTAATAATCAGTACAAATGTACAGATTAACAATAAAACTACAATAATGACTGTTTTGTGGCATATGAACTCCTCATGGGTCATTTAATGCCAAAATTTAATTTTCTTGTAAGCATGAGTAATATCTTTTGCAAAATTGTATTGCTGATAATTTTTTTTAATTTTAATTTTTTTTACAAAAGTAAATTGCTGGTATTTTTACTATAAATCTGTATTTTTATACTTTCATAGTATTTTGACACCAGATCAAAGGGTTCACTATTTGCCCATAGTGGGAACCCTAATAGGTGCTACCATCCCAGGTCAGGCTGGACCTGGGAACAACAGGTGGTTCCATGCTCCCCAAAACCTCCCGATCAGAGGCCTTGTTGCCAGTTGTAGTTTATCATCATACCCAGGATACAACAATAATGACAATATTTGTAATATTAATTTTGTCGCCAATCATTTGTAAATGATGACTAAGAACCTCCCTTCCTAAATTAAGACAGATCCTGCAGATACATGCTGGGATTTCTTCCGAACCAATCTCATTCCCCCATATTTTTGTTGTCTTGAAGTCGGGACATAACAATCACTTGACTGTATCCCTTTTGCATATGAACACAATGCTTAGTTGGCTCAATTTGGTTTCTTTTAGTTTTACAGCCCACCCTTTTTACTGTCAAAACAGTTAAATGAAATCGCCTCTTCTACTCCAACAGCAGCTTTTCTCACACCTCTCGACAGTGGAACTCCCTTACTCTTACTTGCTTCCCTGATAACTATAATCTTAAAAAATTTAAATGTAATGTCAATTAACATCTTCTGATACCTTGATCCCGGTTCTTTTTATCCTTTCCTCAATCCCCTCCTTGCCAAGACCTTTGCCTTATTTTCACACTCTGTAGCCCCTTGTGTACTAGTAGCACTCCCGCCTTGCTTGGGCTGAAATGCTTAGAAAAAAAAAAAAAAAAAAAAAAAAATCAACCTTTTCCAAGTAATTTAATGCTGAATTCTGTTGTTTTGATAAACACTAGATAGGTAGAAGTTGATTTGGTTTGCACGAAGCTCAGTAAAGGGAGTCGTAAGTTGCAATGAACGATAAAGAGAAACATAAGTACAGTGAGCAGGTAGCCCCTTTATTAAATGGGAAGGTATACCTCTGCACTGGGGTGCAGTCCATATATTCTTGACTCCAATCGACATTTGTCAAACATGCTCACAAAAGAGGTCATCAAGTACAACATGAAAGTTACTTGAGAAAGCATGTTTTATAAAGAAAAAAACAATTTTGTTGCCCATTATTTATAGAGAAGAAGAGGAGGAAAACAGCAGAGAGAGAAAGAGAAAGAAAAAAGAACCTGGAGTAGGACTGGATCAATGTTCACTGAGATAAGAGAGGTAGATTGTCAATATGAATGATTGGCTTTAGAACTGGATAGATCAATAAGAGACAGAAAGAGAGGTTACCAAATTGAAGGTTAGATTATGTTTGTTGATTTAACAACATATTGACCCTTACTGCATGTCAGATAGAGGTCTTATAGGACAAAAATCACATTGAATTAATAGAAAGGTAGGCAGACATCTGGTCTGCACTCATGTCAAAAAGGTTAGACATTGTTTGGTTTTTATATATCATAAGTATCCATCCAGAAGGTGGCCTTTTTGGTGGGAGGGGGTCTTACCCTTCTGCATCAAATTCCCCAGATTGAAGGAGTAAACATTTTGTAAAGAAGAAAAAGACAGAAATAAGAGGGCATTTATGTAAATGATTTTCAATAAGCATTTTGGGTATTGACATATTGACTATTATCACTAAATTTGATCCTCGAATCAGTGCTTTATACATATGGTCTTGACCCAATGTGCTCTCTAGTATCAAATAAATGAAAACTCTAAAAACAATTCTTTTAGAACATTTAAAATTTTGGCTAAAAATCTTGTTTTTCTTGCAAATGAACTAGCATAGCAAATTTTAGCATCTATTTTGCAGTGAAAGACATTGATTTTGAAATTCATGCAAAAATCCAATAATTGTTGGATTTTAATGAAACTTTTAGGGCTTAACATATGTACTCATGTAACATGCCATCTCATGTACCGTGTGACCCCCAAATTTTAACTTATAAAAAATAGCTTTATCATATCTCATGTATTATGCAAGTTCCTTTTTTTGAGAGACCAAATTACAGAACAACCTATTTCCTCTATCTTTTTATCCCATCTTCTAGTTAAATAAGTTAATAAAGTAAAAGAGAATGATAAAAGTATTGTTATTAATGCTTTACTCATTGTACAGATGCTTACAGCCATAAACAACTGAACGAGAAACAGCTAAACATCTTATAAATGTAAACAATGGAAAAGATGCATATTCACTGTTTGTATTTGATATGATACTAATATATGAATATTACATGCATTATTATTGGATACAGTTAAGTAAAACATGTTTTATCAAAATCATATTTATTTTAAATACAGCTGTACTTTTTTACTACAGTAACTGGACATATCGTTTGGTCAACAGTGTAGCCAGGGTCAGCAGTACATATGTTAATTTATATCACGTGTATGATGCGACCCCCTTAAAATTAGCTTAAAAATCAGGTCTTCAAAAGTCGCATGATACACAAGTATTCACAAATGAATGAAATTATTTTATAAATTTTTCTTTAAGAAAAGCTTGGTAAATTTTTTTTTTGTATTACACCCCACTTAATTTTACGAAAACTTGATAAATTTAACAAGATAATTTTCAGTGAACATGTTATTTAAAAACAGATCTCTTTAGAGAATTTAAATAAAGGTTTTTTTCTTTTTTTTTTTTTGTAAAATCAAATCCCTTCTTATCAAAAAGATTCTCTGAATCATAAAATAAAAAAATGCTATAAAACTAAAACATGATTTTTAATGCATGGTCATCATAAAAGGATGAGCCTGAAATGCAAATTACAGGTTGGGGACACTAAAATTGAGCAGGTGCAGAAATTTAAATATCTGGGAAGTGTTCTAACAGAGGACGTTAAGTGCGATGCTGAAATCTGAAAACGTATTGAGATGACCAAAGACATTCCAAATGCTTGGCAGAGTATTACAAGACAGGAGGATTTCTTTGGTAACAAAGAAAATTGTACTGAACTGTTATGTGACATCTGTCCTCCTTTATGGCAGCAAATGTTAGATGGTCTCCTCAAAGATGAAGTGACTCGAGGTAATGGAGGTATGGCTCTACAGAAGGATGCTAAGTATATCATGGACCAAGCGTGTGAGCAACGATGAGGTTTTGGAGACGATGCAAACAAGAAAGAAGCTTATACAGTGTGACCGCAGAAGAAGTCTCTTATATCCGGGTTTCTCTTATATCCGGGTTTGGTCTATTTTGTTTAGGTAACACAGGCTCTAATTTGGGACCAAAGAAAATCTCTCTTATATCCGGGTTTCTCTTATATCCGGGTTTGGTCTATTTTGTTTAGGTAACACAGGCTCTAATTTGGGACCAGAGAAAATCTCTTATATCCGGGTTTCTCTTATATCCGGGTTTGGTCTATTTTGTTTAGGTAACACAGGCTCTAATTTGGGACCAGAGAAAATCTCTCTTATATCCGGGTTTCTCTTATATCCGGGTTTGGTCTATTTTGTTTAGGTAACACAGGCTCTAATTTGGGACCAGAGAAAATCTCTCTATATCCGGGTTTCTCTTATATCCGGGTTTGGTCTATTTTGTTTAGGTTAACACAGGCTCTAATTTGGGACCAGAGAAAATATCTCTTATATCCGGGTTTCTCTTATATCCGGGTTTGGTCTATTTTGTTTAGGTTAACACAGGCTCTAATTTGGGACCAGAGAAAATCTCTCTTATATCCGGGTTTCTCTTATATCCGGGTTTGGTCTATTTTGTTTAGGTAACACAGGCTCTAATTTGGGACCAGAGAAAATCTCTCTTATATCCGGGTTTGGTCTATTTTATATACATTAACACAGGCTCTAATTTGGGACCAGAGAAAATCTCTCTTATATCCGGGTTTCTCTTATATCCAGGTTTGGTCTATTTTGTTTAGGTAAGTATGGGCTCTAATTTGGGACCAGAGAAAATCTCTCTTATATCCGGGTTTGGTCTATTTTATATACATTAACACAGGCTCTAATTTGGGACCAGATAAAATCTCTCTTATATCCGGGTTTCTCTTATATCCAGGTTTGGTCTATTTTGTTTAGGTAAGTATGGGCTCTAATTTGGGACCAGAGAAAAATCTCTCTTATATCCGGGTTTGGTCTATTTTATATACATTAACACAGGCTCTAATTTGGGACCAGATAAAATCTCTCTTATATCCGGGTTTCTCTTATATCCGGGTTTGGTCTATTTTGTTTAGGTAAGTATGGGCTCTAATTTGGGACCAGAGAAAATCTCTTATATCCGGGTTTCTCTTATATCCAGGTTACACTGTACTTAACATTGGGAATAGAAAGCAGAAATTTCTGGGACATGTAATGAGAAAAGAGAGCTTGGAGAATCTGATACTCACAGGGTGAATACAAGGAAAAAGAGACAAGGGAAAGCAATATCTGACATACCTAGCAGACTTAAGCAAGTGGATGGCAGAACAGAGTCTGGGAGAAGTAGCAAAGGGACAAAACAAAACTTATTGAGAACTACAAGGGATAGGAAGAAGTGGAGAGCCATGATTGCCTATGTCCTGAAGGGACATGGCACATAAAGGAAGAAGCATGTTAAGAAAAATTTATTTTTGATGAATAATGAATTCGTTTTCATTTAGAATAATTTATAAAGTTTTTAAATGTTTTAAAATTCAGTTTTAATTCTGTAATGGTTAAAGAATATTGTTATTAAAAAAAACTATTTACTAATCATAAATTGTAAAGCGTATTACAATCTGAGGTATCCCATTATTTTAAAATTTAAAATGAATTTTGATATGTTTTTGTATGTGTTAGTTAAGGTGTCAATTTTTGTATATATGCTTGTTCATACACAACAATATTATCAGAAAATAAGAGCGATAACTATAGTAAATTTAAAACCAAAATATCTAAAATTCAATAAAATATTAGATTTCAGAGAATAGTTTCCTAAATTTTTATGATTACTGAGTACTTAAAATTTATATATAGTGTAACCCGGATATAAGAGAGATTTTCTCTGGTCCCAAATTAGAGCCTGTGTTAAATGTATAGACCAAACCCGGATATAAGCGACTTCTTCGGTCCCGACAACTCTTATATCCGAGTTACACTGTATAAAAAAAAAAAAGGTGCTTATGTTATTCCTCAAATTACAGATAAAGTCCCCATAGAACATTAGGTAAAAATATCAATCTGTCAATAAGCTATCAACAAATTAAATAGCTATGTTAAAAAAAATGCATTTCTGTAAAAACTTAAAGGAAGTAAATATTTGTTTCAAATCAGAGTAATTATAGATAATATTCCTCAAATAAAGTTTCAGAAAAGTATATTTTATTTCTGGAAGATTTTTAATAAAAGAATTACGTTCTGTGATGACAGTGGCTAAAAATGGCACTAAAATAAAAAATTTCAGCAGTTTCAAAACGAAAACTCCTTCCAATAAATTTAAATTTATTTTGAAAGGCAGTAAAGTATTTTGCTTATTGGAAATATCACATTTAATCACAGTAAAAGTTTAAAACTAAAAAAGCTTAAAGAAAAACTTTTTACATTTTAAAAAAATTATAACATTAGGTATCGGGAATCTGTGAAGGTAGCTAAAAGATATTGATTGATATTGAAAGAAATCATAAAGAATTTAATTACTTTGTAGAATTTGTTCCTGAATAATCGAGAAGCAGTCACCCAAAGATGTATTGAACAAAAAACCCACTACGTTAGTGATGGTTGGTCTTAATGGGCTAAAAATCAAGGTCGGCAACCTACGGCACGCGTGCCACGCCATGCAATTTCCATTGGCACACAGCCGCAAATTACATCACGAAGTCCGAATCAATAACTATATAACGCAAAGAATTTAGCTGTTTCAATTTTAATAAAGTATATATGCTAAAAAAATATATTGTAGAACAGGCATATTGACCTTGACTTTTACGTATGCCGTTGGCACACTGAATGATTTTAAAATAAAACCTTTTTAAGTCGGCACAAAAAAGGTTGCCGAACTTGGGATAAAAACTAAACAGAAATGGGGTACAATCACAATTTTGTTGATTTATTTTTATTTTTTAATAATATACAACAATAATTACAAGGATTCTTTTTAAGTTCATACTCAAACAATTCAATAGAGTCAACTGGCTTCATTTAAAAAAAGCGTTTCCACAGAGAAAAAAAAGCACCCGCATGAATGAGAATATATGTATGTATTGTAAATTAATAAATTATTTACAATTTACATATATTTCGAAAGAAATCCCAAATGTATATGAAAAATTTAAAAACAATGATAAAATTTTAATTCGCGAATTATGGTTTCTGTTTTAGTTTTATGGCCCCAATTCTAGACTTTTTTGTTGCTTTCATTAAGAAAAAAATCATTTTTTGGAGGAGCTACATGTGTGTGTGATTATAAAAAGTTTAATTAGTTTTTGTTTTTGACGATTAAGAAGAATACGGTCATTCAAACTTGCACATGTACAGCTGGTTCACTGAATTTTGAAATTAGTTTGAGAAGAACTAAAAAAAACTTTCAGTAAAAAAAGTTTGTTGTCAAACTGAAAACTGGAACTTTTCAATTTAATTTAATTTAAAAAATAAAATGATCTCAAAGTCACACTTTAAAAACCGCAAACAGAACAGATACCGTAATTCCCCATGTATAATACGAATTTTTTCTCTAAAAAAAAAAAAAAAAAAAAAAAAGCAAAATCAGGGGTGCTTATTATGCACGACTAAAAAAAAAAAAAATTGCCGTAAAATAAAATAATTAAATAATAAAAGTAAAACCCTTTTTTTTTTTTTTTTTTAGAGTAATGTAATGAAATTGTAGGTACAATAGGGTTTCATTACCAAACAAGGGGTGCGTATTATGCCTGAGTAGAAATATTTTTCTACACTTTCAGCACAATTTCAGGGATGCGTATTATACATGGGGAATTACGGTACTTTAAAATTATTTTTTAAATTACTGTTAAAATCCTTCTAATTGAAACGTTTTTTTTTGTTTTGTTTTTTTTTTTACAATTTACCTGTTGTCGTTAGTTGCTTTTTAGCAGTCAATAAATCTACTGAATCGGGTGAATGCAACACACCTGTAGGGTTGACATGACAACCAGGTGTGAAATTAGCTTCGAGTCGTACCTTCGTATAATTTTAAAACGCCAGATATTATCGTTTGTTCAAATTTATTAAATACTGGTTTTTTCCTAATTTAATAATCCAAATTGTAATGCTTTTATTTTGGGGAAAAATTTAAAATATTTGATTTCGCAAGGTTGGGTTCTGGATATTTTTAAACTTAGGACATGAAGAATTCTCTCCCTTGGCCAAAAGTAACCGATAGCTTTTCTAACATTTGGCAGTAAAAATAAAATAAAATGTTGTCATTTTACTGTTTTTATACATTTTCCTTAAATCACAGAGAGAAAAATAAAGTATACTTTTACAAATCTCTTGTTTTATTCGCAATGTGGTGTTGTAGTAGGCTTATTCAATTGAAATAAAAACTAAAAAAGAAAATGTTTTTATTTTAACTTAAGGTAAATGTGCAAAAGTAAAAAGTAAAAACTAAATTTATTTAAAAAAAAAAAAAAAAAATAATAGTAAAAACTAAATTTATTTCCCCCCCCAAATAATAAGAACTAAACTTTATTTTCTTACAATTAAAACAGGTTTTAAAACTTTACAACAAATAAAAGTGTTTTTAGAAACAAATAGACTGAAAAAATTGAAAAGGAATACATAATTCACTAAGAAGATTAACTGTTAAGAAGACTTAACAGTTAAGTCGTCAAGTTAAAAAAAAAAAAACTTACCCGTCTCTAGTGAAGTAAAAAAAATTACTCTCTACCGTGTCTAGTGAGGACATTTCTGGTTCACATAAAGAATACTGATAAAACAAAAAAAAAAAAATGGTATTCATTTCGATTCAAATTCTGCAAACTGTGGGGATAGAAGGCGTAAAAAAAATACACACCCACCCACCCGGTGTGACAAAATCAAAATAAAAAATCTCCTCGGTGTATAAGACACGAATTTTTTAAATCATAATTTTTATTATTATTATTTTTTTTTTTTTTTTAATTTGGTGCTTATTAATTCTCTAAGATTTAAATTTTGCTTAATTAATTTTCTATCTTCTTTCTATCCGACAAATTTTTTTTTTTTTTTTTTTTTAATCTTCAATAAGCAACACGACAGTGCTTTAGTCAGTCGTAAAGTTTGTTTTTTTTTTTATATTAATGTTTGGTTTTCTTTTATTTTTGATTATTGGATTCATCCCCTCTCTCTTCAAATGTTTAGGTATTTTTGTTAAAAAAAAAAAAATTGTACATATTAATTTTCTCAGCATAGTGTTGGGGATGTGCAGAAGGAATTTGCTGTAGCATTGAGTTGAATCAGAAGGAATTTTTTATGTTAGGTTGCGTGAACTTTTCTGCATCCACAAACAAATAAACAATTTCAATGTAAACAAGACAAAATATACACGCAATTCAAAATCGATAAATGCATTTATATACAAATAAGATAATATATACAGAATATGTTTGAAGATGTTATTGTGTTGGTGTGCTCGTGATATTTGTAGTTTTTGTATGTCCTTTTTTATGTCTTTTGTGTATCTGTGTTACAGTCTTTTTTAGGAAATTGTAATTAGTATTTAGAATGTCGGTATTATGTTTTTAGAAATGAGTCATTAAGAAGTAGTCTACCTTTGACTGCAAATGTTGAGTTTGTTCGATAATGTTATTTACTTAGAATAGTAGTGAGTTTTAATTCACTTTAGATAAGTAAAGTTGTTCGGATAGAAGTTTTGGTGTTCACAGAGTTTTTTTCAATTTGGGCTTGCGAGTGAGTCAGTAATGATTTAGTTTGTGCGTTAGTTTGCACGTTAGTTTGCGCGGCAAGATTGCAGTTGCAAACGACATGGATTATATTAGCATATCTCTGTGCTCGTTCGACTGACTGATTTATCGTAGGTGGTCAAAGAGAATGTATGGTTTGAGATTCTTGAATGACAAAGAAGTTCGTAGAAGATATTGAACAGGAAAGATTTGTTGTCTCGATTAGCGAGATGGTGAATTGTAATCATCACATTTTTAAGCTTGAGTAAGCAGTCGAAAAATGGTCTGTTGCTGATCTGTCCAGGTCTGCGTCTGCCTCTGCGTGGTCACACATGCTTTGGTTTTTTTTTAAGAGGTCATGATCACGTGGGTGGATCCAGAGTGATTTTGCGCCAAAACTTCGAAGTTCACGTGTGGGCGACCTGATTGGCAGAAATAAACCAATCAGAGGGCTAGATTTACGAATGAAAGTTGGAATAGTGCATTACTCAAAGAAGGTAAGATTGGGCTAATAGATGAGCCCAATAATAGGTTAGATGTGACACAAGGCCGTAAGTATAGGCACCCAGTGATGATCAAACTCACTATAGAATCTTAATTGATCTAACAAGACAAGCTTGCTAAACATTGCACAATACCAAAGTGCCTCCCTCAAAAAAATTATAAATATTAAGAAATTTTTAATATCATAAGTGTTTTATTAGAACCTATGTAAAAATGTGGTATTGTGGTACATGTTGGATTGGATGAAGAAGGATGCATTCTTGTGGTTATTATGTCAATTGTTAGAGTGAATCAGTCATGAATTGGATTAGCTAGCACTAGGATAGATAGTGTTGACCAGCCTTTCCCCACTTCCCTTCAACCTTGTGTCACAAATTAATGTATTTACATTAATTAAATAAACAGTAAGTAAAATAAATTTTAGGAGTGCAGCAAAAAATGTCTCAGCAGTGATTAACGTTATATAAGAAAGTACTGTAATTATTCACAGAAATTAACAACTGGTATTATTAAGAAATATTTTTTTGTGAGTTCTTTAGGGCTGAAAAAATAGAGTTTTTCTCATTTTCAACGCATACATTTTTTTCTTTTGTTACTTCAGTCTTTTTTTTTATTGACAGCATTAATGTTTAATTTAATAATTAACACTTAGCATCTACTTTGTAATTTTTATACCACTTACTATTAATGCCATGTCCCTTCAGAATATAGGAGATCACGACTCTCCACATATTCCATTTTTTAAAAATTTTTTGTGAATTGCCATACCTTCTTGGGAAAGATAGTGGAATGATTTCCTGTTGCCTTCTTCATGGTCTGGAATTCAGTTTTCCTTCTGCTTTTAGGATGAAAGCAATCATGCCCCCCACCCCCACCACCAAGATTATTTTTCTTTATTATCTGTAAATAGCCATACCTTCTTGGGAAAGATAATGGTGGTTTCCATGGTTTGTGTTGTGGAGTAACTGAGCACCCCCACAAAATAGACTGGTCTAAGACTATTTAAACAGCACCCTCTCTTACTGAGGGAGAGCAGTTAATGATTAACTGTTTATTATATTAATCTATGTTCTTAACCATGTACCATATTATTCTCCAGAATTAACTTCTTCTTACTTTCTATATGTGTGTCAACCTTTCCTATTTACAACACAACAGTTTGGAATTCAGTTTTCCTTCTGCCTTTAGAATGAAAGCAATCATGGGCCTCCACAGATTCCATTTCTTTATGATCTGTGAACTGCCATGCATTTTTTCTTGGGAAAGATACTGAAGGTTCAATGGTTTCCAGTTGCCTTCTCCACAGATTTGGATTTCAGGGTTTTTCTTCCTTTTTGACTGGTTGTTACTCAATGGAAGAGAGCCTAGTTTACCCTGCTATTTAACTCATAGCTGGAGTTTACACCACGAATAAGATGAAATATTTTCTCTTCAACCAGAAAAATTAAACATAGAAAAATCACTTTAAAAGCTAAAATTTTATTCATACTTCAATATAATAAAAATTATGAATGTTTCCTTTTTCTCCCAACAAGTAATTATAAAAAAATTGCAAAAACAAGTTAATGTATATTAAAAAAAATGATTTAATATTTTAATTTTTACATATTTTACTATTTCCCTGAAAATAAGACTTTAGGAAGAATGAAAAGTTATGATCTATATAGAAACATTAAAATCAACTATGACTGATTATGGAGAGAGAGTCAGACACACAAGTTATGGAATTAAGTATAAAAACAGACTTATAAGAAGAATAAGGGAGTTAAAGAAATCAGCACACATGTTATACTCAAATTATCCAATCAGTAAGCTAAGCATAGATATCAAAAACATATAGCAGTCATAGATTTAAAAAATAAACAGACAATGAATTTGAGATTCTGAAAACATTTACTATAGGGATTTTTGCATATAAAAAATAAAATATCAATTCACACTGCTTTAGATGCTCAATAAAAAAGAACTCTTAGTTTGTGTGAAATGGAAACAGAAAGGAATTGTTTATTTACAATAATTAATGTCAGCAGAAGTGTGTAAACAGTTCCTGAAAATATTCTTTTGAGCACCTAAAGAAATTAAGTTGGATAGAAAAAATGTTCATAAGAAAGTGGGGAATTACTGTAATAGCTGAAAAAGTCCTTGATTGAAAATGTAATGTACCAGTGAAGTACATAAGCTGTTCAGGAGCTGATATGTCAGCACAGTTGCAGGCAGGGACACTGCATACTACTCCTGAACCCTCTAACTGGGGAGTGCAAGCCTTATTGGGGGCCTTAGGCAGTGCTTTGTGAGTCATACTATCTTATCAACATTTGTCCTTTTCTACCTACATTTATATATGCTACAAACTGAACTAAGCACAGCTATTAAAGGATTAACAATTTTCACATATTTTGACATCAGTCTAGATTCTTTTTTATTCAAAGCTATGCATTTGTTTTTGCTCAAGTCTTGAAAAAAAAAACACTATATAAAATTCACTATTTTTTATCCATAATGTTGAATATGGTTAAATTATTCAGCTTTTTAACATCTCAAGTTGATGTTAAAAATTGCAGCAAAACATTGTTGACTTATTTAAGATGAAATGATCTATTATGACATGTCTCTAATTTGTATTTTGATACATTGTATTTAGGGATGGAATGATCTATTATGACATGTCTCTAATTTGTATTTTGATACATTGTATTTAGGGATGAAATGATCTATTATGACATGTCTCTAATTTGTATTTTGATACATTATATTTAGGGATGGAATGATCTGTTATGACATGTCTCTAATTTGCATCTCTGGTTGCAGAAGCATCCATTTTGAATGGAAGGATTTGTTGAATGACTGTCGCTTGAAGGAAACTTTCAGAAATAAGTACTGCCTTGTTGAATAATAATTGAAAAGAGTGTTTTTTTCTTCATATTTTTTGCTCTTTTTGCATGTTTACTTCAGATAATCATGTTGAAAATGATCTGTTTTTAATGTTATCCTGGATTTCTTTGTGGGTTTTAGAATATCTTAAAATCCCACATATTCTTTGCTCAACTCACAGCAAATGTTAATTACTCTGCCTACTTATACATAAACAGTATCGCAATGAACAGTGATTAAACTAGCTGATACCTGCACGTATAATGTACCGACTGGCACACTAAGCTAATTTTCAAAATTGAGCCGGTTTTAAATTCTGTTCTTCTGATTGGTTGAAAATATTCTTGAGGAGTACTCTTCTCAAGCCTTTTATCCAGTAGATTCCATTTTTTTATTATTCTGTGCCAGACTTACTGTAATCACAAACAGGATCAGAAACAAGGCTTATCAAAAAAAATCACATCTGAACACCCTGTTGTTTGGAAATGTCTTTGCTCTAGATAGTGGGAGAGAGCAGAGCATTTTTCTTTTGTTTTTTTACATAAACATTTATAAATCAGCAAACATACTATACTCAAATTATCCAATCAGTAAGCCAAGCATAGATATTAAGAGCATATGGCAGCTTGTTATTTGAAAAGAACAAGTA